TATAAGTTTCTTAAAAATTATATTTTATAAATATTTTCTGTTCTGACTGGCTATGTTGCCGTTGCTCATATTTCTTTTATGACATAAGGCTTCGGTTTAAGGTGACTTTTGTTAGGCATGCAGATTATTTGTCCCTCTTTTAAATTGGAGCGATTTGACTGGAACGGGAGGAAATTTTAGTGGAGCGAGGAGCGGTGTTGAGCCGAGCGGCTTACTGCAAATTAGAGCGAAGGAGTGGGCGGAGCCAACAGCCTTGTGAGCGAGGAGCGGAAACTCTCACCGCTCCACTCGTAAATAAATGTCCGTATAGCACAGAAAAGCTGGCGCACTGCCAAATGTTGCGCCTGTCATCTGAAGCCCTAGTGATTATTGCGCATGCGCGATTTAATCGCGATTTGATATCGCCCAGTCCTACAGGGTATACAAAAGCCAAACTTAAAAGAAACTTTCTTTAGGGTGTTGGTCTGTTGGGTGAGTGGTATGTAAGGCAGGATGTCTGGGGAGGGGGTTGTGTGCCAAGTCGAGGGACCCTTGTCCTTGAGGTCCGCTCTGCTGTCTGTAGGTCCTTAAATCTTTGGGCAATAAAAGTTGGAGTGCTGGCCTCCCTTGTTATCTGTGTGTGTGTGTCTGTGTGTGTTTGTGTGTTTATGTGTGTGGGGTCACTAATCTCCTTTGCTGCCTAGGCCAATGTCTACCTCTCGTACCAGGCTCGACCTTGTCTCAGGCCACCTGGAATTTAAGCCCTGTGATATGTGCATGTGTGATCCTACAGACTTTTATAATCTATTTGGATATTTAGAAAAAAACAAGAGAAATTCAGATTCCTGGAATGGAAAATGGCAAACTGAATGTTTTCTAAATATCAGAAGAAATATTATTCATGCTGTAACTGAAGAGGCTCCTGGATGCTCCTCCACAAAGAGCTGCTCCGTCTGTGAGAAGCTTGAGGGCTTTCTGTCACATAGGACCCACTTTAGGGGAAGGAACTGAATGCTGGGACATGATCATGAGCTCAGCTGAACACATGTGGATTCAGGAAGGGCAGAGTGATGCTGGCAGGTGCTTCTGAGTAAGACAGACAGTGTGCTGATTGCTATGAGTTTCCATACGAAACTGAAAATGGTTTGTTTCACACATTTCATCCTAAAAGTGACTAGTGACATTTCTGTTGATGTGTTTAGATGTCCCTCTAGTAGTGCTACTGACCAAAGTGGACAAAGCATGTCCTCATGTGGAAAAGGATTTGAAGAACATGTACCACAGCTGCTACATAAAGGATCTGGTGAGTTTCAGGGTCTAACACTGGATCCTATCCATTTTTTCTCCAAAAGCTGCATCAACTTACAGTATCAGTTCAGTATTGCTGGAAACCTGCAGCAGAGCCCTCGACTGTGAAATTGGCCTGAATTGCTGTAGTAAAAATATGCAGCAGTATAAATGGGTGAAAGTTGACTATGGGTACAAGTTGACATCATCTACTGGACAGGTTACCAGTGGCAACAAAACACACCCAGACAAATGCAATGACCAAGTGAGAGATAGCAGTTCACCTGGTGGAATGTTTGCAGACTGTAGGAGGAAACAGGGTGAACAAGCAGACATCACACATGGAGCCAAAGCAAGGGGTTGTGAACCTTTGGTTTATTATTTTACACTGGCTCACAAACCTTTATCTCTAGTATTTATTTTCTAAAGCAACATATTTCCTGGTAGCCAGATGACTCTGCGGGGAGCTCTGTGGCCTGACTCCTGCACTCCATGTCTGTGCAGTTTGCATGTTCTCCCTGTGACTGTGTGTCCAACCCCCTCCCCCCCCCCCCATAGCTTAAAACATGGTTTTGGGGTAAGTGGCATCTCTAAATTGCCCACAATGTGTGACTGTGTGACCTGCAATGAGCTGGCATCCTGGCCTGGGTGTCTTCTTCCTCAGGTCCTCTGTTTCCTGGCGTAGGCTTATCATGTACTGAATGGGGGGTTATGGATGGATGGATGACAAATTTGTGTCTGACATTTAATTGCACTCATGAGCTTAGGATCTTTGATTGTACATCTACATTTGGCAGCATCTGCTAAAGACACAATTCTACCACAGTACTGATTAATTACAACTCTGTTTTACACTTATATTGTGATATAGCAACTGAAGAAAATAAATTTGATAAGGAATGTATATATGAACTGCATGTCTCTTTGCAGATCAAAAAAGCAAGTGAATGTCTGGGCATTGCAGAGTCAAATGTGCTTCCAGTGAAGAATTACTCTCAGGAGATTGAGCTGAATGACACCTGCGACATCCTGCTCCTCACTGCCATGAATCAGATTCTCAACTTTGCTGATGACTACATAGACAATGCTGAGGACCAACAGTAGAGATTTTTTTGTTATGTTAATAGAGACATATGCCAACAACTCATTGTATTTGGGGGCATCGGCACATTCTGATGGTTCCGAACTGCTGCCCAAGTTTTTGTAACCTACAATCTATAGATACAATCATATATATAATCATAGATATAATCTATACATAGATATAATCATATATATATATATATATATATATATATAAATGAAAATGACCTGGTGATTACAGCATTTCATCATCATCATCATCATCCTTATTTATAAAGCACTTTAAAACAACCACAGCCGACACAAAGTGCTGTACATTAAAACCAATTATTACATGGCTCTCTGGAATGCTTGATTCTGATTGGTCAGTTGAGACATTTGCAGGTTCGTTATTTTCAAATAATGACTGCTCCAAAGTAATAACGCATAGTAACGTGGTACTATATCGTTTCGCAGAAAGATAAAAATGTTATTTTAAAACAAATATGCCAATAAAATGTTTCAAATTCATATTCATGTCCAGTTTTTTTCCTTATGTGGCAAGTAGCCGTGTAATAAGCGGGATAATGTACAGGCAGCCGGTAGTTATCGCGAAATAAGCCCCTTCAGTGTGATACAAGACCCTCCGCCTCGCGTCGGGGCCTGGTCACACTGTCGGGGCGTTTTTTTTGGATAACTACCCGCCGG